TGCATCGGAGCACAGGGGCACGCTGGGAGCCTGGCCAAATTTGGCAATTTGGGTTTGGGCCCTCAGACGATTCCTCAGGACTGAGGACTCAGGCCCCAGAGATTAAGCAAAGGACCTGAGGACACGCCCACTCCGTGCCGGTGGCGGATGTGAATGCACATGTGTTTACATACACACACACACACACACACACACACACACACACACACACACACACATATATATATACAGATACAGATGTATATCCGTAAGGGCTTCGCCCCATGCCGCAGGCCCCCTGTCTCGGATAATGGTAGATGCAAAAGCTAAATCATGAGGTCTGGGCGCCGCCGTGAAGCCGTGTCGGGACCTGTTTGTGTTTCGACCCTGACCCTACGGATCTGCGTCACGGGTGCTACCGAATTTCAGAAATGTAGCAAATCCTTTTTGTTTTTGGACCTTGACCCTACGGATCTGCTAAGGGGTGCTGCCGAATTTCAGAAATGTGGCAAATCCCCTGTTTTTGGACCTTGACCCTGCCGATCTGCGTGAGGTGTGCCGCCGAATTTTAGAAATGTTGCAAATCCCGTATGTTTTTGGACCCTGACCCTGCCGATCTGCGTGAGGGGTGCCACCGAATTTCAGAAATGTGGCAAATCCCGTGTGTTTTTGGACCCTGACCCCGCCGATCTGCATGAAGGGTACCACCGAATTTCAGAAATGTGGCAAGTCCCATATGTTTTGGACCCTGAACCCGCCGATCTGCGTGAAGGGTGCCAGATAATTTCAGAAATGCAGCAAAACTATATGTTTTTAGACCCGGAACCCGCCGATCTGCGTGAGGGGTGCCACCGAATTTCAGAAATGTGGCAAATCCCGTGTGTTTTTGGACCCTGACCCCGCCGATCTGCGTGAGTGGTGCCACCGAATTGCAGAAATGTGGCAAATCCCATGTGTTTTTGGACCCTGACCCCGCCGATCTGCGTGAGGGGCATTAAATTTTACCCACCTCAGCAATTCAGTGCACACGCTCAGGGCGTTGTAAAAATGCCCGTTTTGGGCCTCCCCCCCTCGCGCGATCCATCAACAAGGAACAGTAAGCAGCAAGAAGCAGAACTGTAACAGTAAACAGCAAGAAGCAGAGCTGTAACAGTGGAAACTGGAAGCTGCAACTGGAACAGGAAACTGCGAATCTTCGCCCTACAGCCTGGTGGCCCTACAAGGGGGCCGGCGGATATACATACATATGTGTGTGCCCGTAGCCATTTTGGCTCAAGGCTTGCCACTAGGGAGTGGCCCTTGAGTTGATTGTAAGACTACACCCCAGCCCAGCCGCACCACCGTGTGGCTTCGTGATTCGTCCCTCCCAGCGCCCATGACGGCATGGAGTGGCCCAGGGCGCGCTGGCAGTGGCCAGGGCGCGGTGTGGCCCGCCAACCATCCCGCCAATGGGGCGCCTGCCTGGTCATCGCGGTCCTCGGGGCACTCAGCGGAGTGGAAGAAGGACCCAGACGGCCGCTGGGATTGGATCGGCCAGGCTCCAGGCACATCGACGCCCCGAGCCAGGCAGTGGACGTGCAAGGGGTGTGGGACCTCGTGCACTACGAAGAGCGCCTGCGGCACGTGCGGCATGAAACCCAGCCTGCTGCCCCGCCTCCGGCCTCGACGAACGCGGTGCGGGCGCAGATCCAGCAGGTGGATGCGCTGCTCGCCGAGGCGGCGCCGGCGCCGGCTCCCCCTCCCGCGCCCCCCCCGGCGGCGACGACGGAGGCGAGCGTCAAGCACATGAAGGACTTGAATAGGCAGCTGGAGGACTCCATCGCAGCGCTCCCGTCGCTGGCGGAGTTCGAGCCTGCCCGTGCTGCCCTCCAGGCGCAGCACGACGGCGTGGTCGCCCGCGTCCGCAGCGCGGCCCCCCCTGGCGCGCGCCTCGACAGCGCCCGGGCCGCGCTCGGCCGCGCTCGTGCGCGCAAAGCGGCGGCGGCAGAGTCGCTGTCCAAGGCGCATGCGGCGTTGGAGGCGGCCGACGCCGAGTGCGCGCAGCTCACCAAGGACGTCGAGGCCCTGAAGGCCGAGATGGCTCCTCCAGCGGCTGCCCCGCCGTGCACTTCCTCGCAGCTGCAGCGGCTGGAGGAGGCGGCCACGGACATGCTGTCGGAGCTGGCGACGGCGGAGGGCGCGGATCCCGCGCACGTGAAGGTCGCGACCGAGCTCTCCCAGCAGCTGGTGAGGGGCTTCCAGGAGTCGCTCGCCCAGGCGCGGGCGGCCGCCAGGGCGGCGGAAGCGAACCCGCCTCGGAGGATGGTTGGCAAGCAGCCGCTGCCCGAGCCCTCGTCGACCCCGATGGCCATCGAGCAACCCGTGCCGACCCGCCTGAATGGCAAGCAGGCGAAGAAGGTCACTCTGCAGGACTTCTGGCCGGGGGCATCGCGCAACGTGCTCAAGTCGGCGGTCGGAAAAAAGTGCTCGGCCTAGCCTTAGCCCCCTCTGCCAGGAGAGGGGGCGACGAGGCTGACCACAGGATTTTGCAAGATCCCGTGGTTGGAGTCCTCGATGGGTTGCACGTGGCTCCCTCGGCGGCGAGAGGAGCAATGTCACGGTTTCCGCCGGCACCTGTCGTCCCTGCGGATCGCGACCGGCGGTCCGGAATGGCGCGCGACCACAGTGCGCTATGGGGAGCTTGGCTTCGGCGCGCTCGTGCCGTAGCTACGCCTGCCATGCTTCCTCCGGCATCCTCGCCACCGGCGGGAGGTACCGAGTCGACGCTGCGCGGCGCCACCGCGAACGTGCAGACGCTTCTACCGCGCCAGGCCACCCGGAGCTACGCGCGGATCTCATCTGCACCGCTGCTTTCGAAGGTGACCATCCTTGAGCAGCGCTTCCACGGCGCCGCTTTTGACGTCGTTGGCATACAGGAGGGACGGAACGCTGAGACCGCTGAGCGCCCGGGTACCTTCTACAGGATGTTCATGAGTGCGGCGGACGCTGGCGGACAGCATGGTGTCCAATGCTGGGTACGACGCGGCGCTGAGCACACCGTCGTGCAGTGGCGCGCCGTCAGCCCGATCCTGATGTACGTGGTGCTGCGCTGGTCGAATGGGCACCTCGTGATCGCCCTGGTGGGCCACGCCCCGCCGGAGTGCAGCTCCGAGGCGACCAAGGAGACGTTCTGGCCCTCCCTCTGGCACGTCACTGAAGAACTACTCCAGCGCTATCCATCGGCATTCTGGCTGCACGCACTGGACGCGAACGCCCGCGTCGGCAGCGCCCCCTCGAGGGCCATTGGCCGCCACCACCCGGAGCGCGAGAACGACAACGGCTCCCGGTTACGGATTTACGCAGAGCATTTTGACTTCATCGTCATCTCCACGTTCTTCCCTGAGGTTGGCCCCACCTGGACCTCTCCCAAGGGCCCTAGATACCGCCTGGATCACCTGTTGTGCCGGGCCGACCACCGAACCCACGCGCTACGCTGCTGGGTCGCCGAGGACATCGATCTCACTATGAACGCACTCTTCGACCACAGCCTCGTGGCGGGCGACTTTGAGGTCGGCGGCACGGAGCCCACGACCAAGAAGCCAGGTGGTACCTTCCGCCTGGACAAGCGGGCCTTGGCCGATCCCGAGGCGTGCGAAGCCTTTCGTGCAGCCCTCTGGCGCTATGACCCCCACTCCGGCGTGACCATAGACGAGCACCTCGCGGACGCCAACGACTACCTTCGCCGTTCGGCCTCGCTCTGCCTCCAGCGGGTCCGGGACGCACCTCGCAAGCCATGGATAGCCCCCGACACTTGGACCCACATCCGCCAGATAGCGCCCGTGCGGCGGCAGATTGCGGCCGCTGCAGGCGAGGCGCGCCGGGCGTTCCGGGGAGCAGTCTTCTGCGTGTGGCGCGGTCTGGTGGCACGCTCGTCTCCGGGTGACGGCAGCATGCGCTCTGCCCTGACCTCCCCATGGCGCTGGCTTGGGCAGGCCATCGACCTCGGATGCCGATCCGCGGAATTCACATGGTGGATTGCGCGATGGACAGCTGCCATCTTCGCTGTGCAGCTGGACGCCCGGCCGCTTCTGGCCCGCGATCGCGCCGAATTCTTGGATTCGCTCGCGCTGAAGGCGGCCGCTGCCATGCAGTGCAACGACCTGAAGACTGCCTACGGCGTGGCGCGCAGCCTCGGCGCGGCCAAGACCATCCAGAACACCTCGGTGTACAAGCTCGATGGCTCGCTCACGACGTCCCCCGATGAGGAGACCGCCAGGTGGGACGAGCATTTCGCATCTGCGTTCCAGGGTGAGCTGGTGTCGCGAGACCAATCGCGCTGCGGTGCTGAGCCGGCACCGCCTCCAGTGCCCCTCGACACGGGCGTCGTGCGGACTGCGGCCGCCTTTGCGGCGCTGGGCAAGAATAAGGGCGTTGGACCCGGCGGCATCCCAGCGGAATTGCTCCAGGCTGGCGGAGCCCCTTGCGCCGTCATGTACTCCGCGCTCAATTGCCGCGTGGCCGCCACGCTGCAGTGGCCCGTCGAATGGCGCGGCGGTGACCTCGTCCATGTGTGGAAGAGGAAGGGCGATCCAGCTGTCTGCGACGACAGCCGTGGCTTGCTTCTGGCTGACCACACGTCAAAAGCACTCGCCTCGATTGCCAAAGAGGACATGGACGATGTGTACACTCGGCACGTGCCGTCGCACCAGTGCGGCGCGGTCGCAGGGCGAGGCACGGACTTCGCCACCCACATCGTCCGCTCGCTCCTCGCCATAGCGGAGGTGCTGGGCCACAGCGTCTTCGTGCTCTTCGTGGACCTTGTGAAGGCCTTCGACAAGGTCGTCCGAGAGCTGGTCATGGGATGGGGATCGCGCCCGACGGAGGAGCGCGTGCCGCACCTTGTCGCTCTCGGAGTCGACCCGGCCGCTGCGGCGTGGATCGTGGACTACGTTGCCAATCGTGGATGCGTCTTCGAGCAGTGGGGCGCAGGCCCGACTACCCTTGGCATGCTGCGAACTCTCCACGAGCACTCGTGGTTTCAGGTGCGCGACAGGGCTGCAAGGTCGGCTCGCATGTCTTCAATGCTGGTTACTGCGTCGCCCTCGGCCTCCTGGACACCCAGCTCGCGGAGCACGGGCTCGCGTTCCGCGTCGTGGAGCCAGATGGCCCGTTCTGGCAGTCTCCGTGCGGGGAGGGCGCAGATGGACGGCCGGTCATCGCCGCGACCTTCGTGGACGACCTCGGGCTCGTCCTCCTCGCGCGTCTGCCGGCCCACCTGGACGCCGCGATTGCGCAACTCCTGCACATCCTCACCACCGCATTCGGGCAGTGCCATTTGACCATCAACTGGGCGAAGGGCAAGACAGAGTGCCTCTTGAAGTACCGCGGGAATGGCGCGACGCGCGCTCGCGAGGCTCGGCGCCGCGGCAGCGGGGAGCTTGCCATCTGGGTTCCGGGAGTCCGAAAATGGCTCCAGGTGGTGGCTACCTATTGCCACCTTGGCACCATGCTGTGCGCGACGGGCGAGGCCTATGCTAACACGCTCCGGCGCACGCAAGTGGCCATGAGCGAGTACTTGCCGATCGCGTACAAAGTGTTCGGCAGCGAGCTGATCCCGGAGCGGCACAAACTCAGCTTCCTGAGGTCTTTCGTGCTGTCTCGCTTGCTCTTCGGCCTCCACATTGCGTGCCTCCCAGTGGCGCAGCTGCGCCGTCTGAATGCGGTGTACATGCGCGGGCTCCGCCGCATCGCAGGTGATCCTCGGTTCGGCCCTGATGTGCAGAGGTCTGACCGCGCCGTGCGCGAGCGATTGAGAGCGGCATCGATCGACAGCCTGCTCATGACCATGAGGCTGCGCTACTTGCAGCGGCTGGTGCTCCTGCGCCCTCCGGACTTGCTGGCGCTGCTGCACTTCCGCCCGAAGGGGCAACCTCTGCCTTGGGCGAAGCTCGTCGCTGCGGACCGCGAGTTCCTGCGTCGTCAGGGCTTGGTGCCTCCCGCCATGCCTGGCTTCTTCGACGCTCCGCTGCAATGGGCCGAACTGGTGGCTGATCGCCAGAAATGGGCCGACATCGTGGGCAGCGCGCATGTCTGCGATTCCTGCCTGGACCGCGACGTCACCGCGTCCTCGGCCACGCCTCTCACAGTGAAGCGCCGGATGCGTAGTGCTCGCTTCGCCTCCGCGCGCGCCCGCGCGTGCCATGAGCGCATCGCGCACAGGGTGACTACGAAGGCTAAGTGTTACCTCCACGGCACGGTTTGTCCATGCTGCAAGGTGGATTCCAGGCAGAAGATCCGTCTGCTGGCGCACTGGTCTGACTCCCGCCGCCCTGCGCTGTTGGACTTGGGTAAAGGCACACGTTGCTCCCTTGAATGCTGACCAGCAGGCGAGGGTAGACGAAGAGCTCCGATCCACCCGACGCGCTGGACAGCGCGCCGGAAGGACCCACGCCTTGTGCCACCTGCCGGCGAGGAGGGCGATGGACGCACCATCGGGCGCCTCGACTCACCGTAGCCACACGCGCTACCACACGTTTTGCTTGTAGCCCCCAGGGCTGCTTGACACCTGGTCTGCGCCGTCGCCACAGCTCGACGCCCGTCATTCTTTGTGTCTTTGCACGGCTTCCCCATCGCTCTTGAGACTAACATCCCTCGCAGTATCTTTTTTTATTATATTAATATATATATATATATATATATATATATATATATATATAATAATAATACGAATAATAGTAATAATAATAATAATGTTTCTTCTTTTTTATATATATAAAAAATGTGCGTGGTCCGTATCCATTGTTGCGCAAGTGCTGAAAAGTGCTAAGTGCAACTTGAGGCAATTGTAAGTCTACACCAGCTTCCCGCGACACCGCGCTCTGATTACGCGCCTATTGTCTTGCATTCTCGGCGGGGGCCGAAAATGTCTCAATGGCGCAAATGGTCAGCACCCGGTTCTTCGCAACAATCTTCAACCTCACCGTCGCCCAGCACGAACGAGTGGCGGCGCGACCCGGCGGGCCATTGGCACTTCGTGGGCTACCTCAAGGGGACTGGCACTCAGCCAGATGCCACGACGCCCCGGATCTGGACGTGCACGATGTGCCAGAGTTCCAACTGGCACCCGAAGGTCAAGTGCTCGACGTGCGGGCTCAAGCGGACGTACGCGGCGGTGGCTGGGACGCCCTCGAGCACGCTGGCTCCGCCTACGGGCTCTGCCAACCCCCCGCCCAAGAGTGGACACCCCAGGAACCCTGTCCAGCAGCAGTTGGCGGCGGTTGCCGAGCGCCTGTCTGCAGCCACCGGCACCTCGGCGATCAAGCCGCCTCCGCCTGCACCCGCGGCCGCCACGCAGCAGCAGGCACCCCCGACGCCCTCAGCCCCGCCCACTGCGGAGCAGACCGGGAGCGTCGGACCTACCAAGGCGTCCGTGGTCGCCACGATCAAGGAGCTCGAGATGGCCATCGCTGCGTTGACTACCCCGTCGACGGCCGCGCTCAAAGCCCCCCTCACCGAGCAGCTCGAGCAGAAGCGCCGCGAGCTGCAGAACTTCAAACCTGTGGGACAGAAGCTGGACTCTCTGCGCGCAGCCCTGGAGTGTTCGCGGAAGCGCAAGGCCCAGGCCGCCGAGGCCTTGGCCCTGGCAGAGCAGACAATGCGAGCTGCTACGGAGGAGGAGGAGCGTTTGGACAAGGAGCTCACCTTGCTCGAGTCCTCCCTGGCCAAGGACCCCCCCCAGCAGCCTCCTACCATGAGCGCCCTGCGCGATCAGCTCTCGGCGGCTGTGGAGGAGCTCATGCAGTTCGACGACATCAGCCCCGAGGTCATCAGCGACGCCGAGACCAAGACAGACAACTTGCTGAAGAGCTTCGAGATGACGATCCGGGCGGCTCAGCAGGCCCAGGGGGTGGTCCACCGGCGCTTGCGCGGCAAGCGCCCTCCCCCCGAGCCCGAGACCGATGTTTTCCACGGGGTCACGGGCAAGCAGAAAGTGCAATCTCATTTGACGTATTTTTGTCGGGGCTCTGGTGAAGGAGCCGCCGGATGGCGCGTGCAAGCCTTCAGCGGGTGCGCATGCTCCTTCGGCCAAGGGCGCGTACCAGCCGCACGCGTAGATGACTCTCCGGAGCACCTCCTCGACGAACGCGCCGTGGAGACGCGCGCCGCAGCTAGGTGGCCGGAGCTGCTCGCAGCAGCAACGGTACCTCATATACACGACTATTCGACACCAGCCCCGACGCTGACGACGTTACGGCAGCTCGGCGCTGATGCTGGCACGACGCTAGCTCTGTCGCCGCCGGCTCGCCTTGACGCCGGCAGTGAGCTGACACTGACGCAGCCGCCGTTCGGATTCGGCGCTGGCGACAGTGCGACGCCGACACCGCCGCTGACGTCATTACGACAGCGCGGCGCCGACGCCGCTACGACACTGATGCCGCCGCCGCCGTTACAACAGTTCGGCGCCGGCGACGGAACGATGCTGAACCTGGCGACCTCACGACCGACTGACGTCAACCATGACACGACGCCGTCACCGCCGGCGACGCTACGCCAGTGCAAACGCCGACGCCGACGCCGACGCCGTTACGACACTGACACCGCCTCCGACGCCGACGCCGACGCCGTTACGACACTGACCGCCGCCGATGCTGACGCCGACGCCGCTACTACACTGACCGACGCCGACGCCGACGCCGACGCTGACACCGCCGCCGCCGTTACGACAGCGCCACTGCCGACGCCGGTAGGCATGCAGGCGTCCAGAGGTCGCCCGACGGCGCACGGCCGACGCAAAGCGGCCCGCTCTGCCGCGTGGAGACCACGTGGCCCATCGCTGAATGGGCCATCCCGCACCGAGATGGTGATGCAGCGTGCTGGTGCCGCGCTTCTTCCTCGCGGGGTCCCTGGCAGGGCTGCCTCAACTGGTCGGCCCACCGTGAACCAGACCGATCTGACCGTCACCATCGCCTCTGCTAACGTCCAGACGTTGCTCCCGCACCAGGAGGGGCGCGCGTACTCCCACAAGTCGGTAAATCCACTTTTGAGCATGGTGGAGGCCCTTGAGACCCAGTTCATGCACGCTCATCTTGACATCTTAGGCGCGCAAGAGGGGCGGGCTCGAACAGAGGGGTCGCAGACAGGAGTACACTACAAGCGCCTCATCGGGGCTGCAACGCCAGAGGGCGCTCAAGGAGTTCAGCTGTGGGTCCGCTTGGGCGCCCACGTGCAGCTGCTTCACTGGCAGAACGTCTCACCTCGGATGATGTTTGCGTCGCTGCAGCTCCAGAACGGGGCTCTCCTTGTAGTTGTAGTCGCGCATGCGCCGCATATGGGATGGTCGGAGGAGGCCCGGCATGGCTTTTGGCACCTACTGAGCGAGACCATGTCTACAGTACGTGCCAAATTTCACACAGCCCATATCCGGACCGCTATCGATGCCAACGGGCGCACGGGGCCCACAGCCCCCCAGTAGATTGGCACTGTGGACGCCGAGGTTGAGAATGACAACGGGGCCTTGTTGCGACGTTTCGCTGGCGAGGAGCACCTGTATGCTGTCAACACGTTCTGGCCAGCTGGGACTACTTGGCGTTCTACTCGTGGGCACCGCCGTCGCATCGACTACATCTCGGCCGACTCCAAGGACCCTCGTGACGCAGTGCCGGGTTGCGCCTGACATCGATTTGACTTTCAACGAGTACGAAGATCATCGGCCCATCATTGTCACCGAGCGTATCCCGGCAGCGGCCCACCAGGGCTGCAGCAGGCAGCCGGCGATGTTCAAGGTGAACAAAACGGCGTCGGGGTGTCCCCAGCTCTGCGACTTGTTCCAGCAGCGCGTCTGGGAGTACCAGCGCCCTGCCAATGCCTCAATGGACGAGTGGCTGGAATCCTTGAAATCCCACGTGCGACAGTGCGCTCGGGAGGTGTTTGGCCCTCCAGAGGACGCCCCCAGGCAGGCGTGGATTTCCGCTACGACGTGGGAGATCATACGGCTGATCGCCCCTGCCCGCTGGGCCATGCATGAAGTGCGCCGCGGCGCTTTCCCCGCGGCCGTCCGCGGGGCTTTCCGGGCGTGGCAGGCAGCTTATATGAAGGCTCGTGCGCGCCCCCCGCCGAGCGTGAAGTTCACCATGCGGGTTGTTGTTGGCGACGCGTCTGACAACATCACTATCTGCAAGGAGGCCCGGTCGCGCGCGGCAGCGTGGTGCAGGTGGATCAGGCGACTCCAGAATTGGGCCCGACCGTCGCTTGCTGCCGATCGTGCTGCTTTCCTCCAGGCGTTAGCCGGAAAAGCCCAGCACGCCATGCTCACGTCAGACATGCGCACTGGCCATGCCGTTGCTCGGGCCCTCGGCGCGAAGAAGAGTGCGCCAACTTCTTCGGTGAGGCGCAAAGACGAGGCTCTCACCACGTCAACCCGCGAGGCCACTGAGCGCTGGGAGGAGCATTACTCGGAGGTATATCGAGGGCAGGCCCTCGAAGACAGCGCCAACAGTTACCCTCCAGATGTGTGCGACACCAAAGCTGTGGCCAATTATGGCCCTGAGTCGACGCGCGTAGCGTTCGGCAAGCTTGGACGCAACAAAGGTGTCGGGCCTGATCAGATCCCTGGGGAACTCCTTGCTGCCGGAGGCTGTGCCACTGCGTCCAAGTATGGGGACATCAACGCCGCCGTAGCATCCTCCACACGCTGGCCCTCGCAGTGGCAGGGCGGGGAGATTGTCAGCGGTTGGAAGAAGAAGGGCAGCGTGCACGAGTGTGATGACCACCGCGGACTCCTCCTATCAAATCATGCTGGCAAAGCGCTGACTGGCATGCGCAAGCGGTCGATTGAGGACGCGTACACTGCCAAGATGCCCATCAACCAGCGCGGGGCTGTGGCCGGCAGGGGCACCGACTTCGCATCGCATATCGTTGCCACGATGGCCGACATCGCCTCGATGATGGGCTGGAGCATCTTTATTATGCACTTGGATCTTGTCAAAGCGTTCGACAGAGTGATCCGTCAGCTAGTGATGGGATGGGGGAAGTACCTTGTGACCGGCAGTTGGACTTCCTCCGCGATCTGGGCGTCTCTGAGGAGTCGGCAGCATGGATCGCCGAGTACTTGGCCGAGCGCGGCCCTCTTCTCGAGCAATGGGGGGCCCCCTGCGACGCCCGCGACATGATCCGGACGTTGCACGAAGGCGCCCGGCACAGCGCACGCGGTGGCACGCGGCGTTTTTCTTCACGCACCGGGGGTCGCCAGGGGTGCTGCCTAGGCGCCGTGGTCTTCAATAGTACATACAGCATAGCATTGGACGCGCTGCATTGGCGTCTCCAGCGCGCCGGAGTTGCGCTAAACGCGCACACTCCTGAGGGCGCATTTTGGAGTCGCCCCGCTCCCGGCAATCCCGCCTCCCAGGCCGCGCTGGACGTCACGTTTGTTGATGACGAGGCTATCTTCCTCGTGGCGACGTCGGTGACCGCCATGACGACGAGCATCCACATCGTTCTCGACACGCTGACTTCGGTATTCAGATCTTGCCACCTAGAGCTGAATTGGGGCCCTGGCAAGTCCGAGTGCGTTCTTCGTCTCCGGGGGACTGGAGCCGCTACTGCGCTCGAGAAATGGCGGCAGCCGGACGGGAGTTTGGGCATACCGCTACAACAGTACGGGCACGACAGACTGCTCCGCATTGTGCCTTGGTACAAACACCTTGGCTCTACCCTTGACAGCCTTGGCATGCACGCGGGCAACGTCTTACATCACATCAAGAGCGCTATGGGTGCTTATGCCCCCTTGGCCATGAAGTTGTACGGGCCTACGCTCATTGCCGATACGTTCCGCATTATGTTATTTCGGAGCCTGGTGGTTAGCCGTTTGATCTTCAACCTCCATATCTTCGTAGTGAAGCCCAAGGAAATCAGACGGCTGAACCATGTGTACATGCGCGGTCTTCGTCGCATTCACGGGGACCCCAGATTCTCAGCTAACACGCACTATCGCGACGCGGAGCTGAGAGAGAGGATGAGCATGCCTTCCATCGACTGCGTGCTAAGCTCTGCGCGATGGCGGTACGTGGGCCGCGTTGTCCGTAACCGTCCCCTGACTCTTATCAGCTTGCTCCATTTCCGCAAGGGGGAGCAATGCCTTCCCTGGGTGCGAGCGCTGCAGCACGACGCTGCGTTTCTGCAGGCTCGAGGCTTTTTCGCGGATTTGCCTTCTTTCGACACGCACCCGCCGACTTGGCAGGAGGCCATGCTCGATGAGCGAGGGTGGAGCAGGCGAGTAGATGCAATATTTTATTGCGATTCTGTGTGTGACCACGCTAAGCCTGCCGGTATCGAGGATTCCAGAGCTCTTCTGCATTGCTGCGCTCTGTATTCGGCCGCGTTTGCCACGCAGCGCGCTTCGGAGTCGCATTCCAGAGCCAAGCATGGAATTCGTACGCCTTTGCGTGAATTCATTTCTTTTTCGATCTGCCCGTGTTGCGGCGTGGACTTCCGAAGCCGCGTGCGCTGCATCACGCACCTTTGCGATAAACGTCGCCCCCGTTGTGCAGATTTCGTCAAGACGCATTGCAAGCGGTTCCCTCCAGAGGAGGTGGAGCGCCTCGATGCTCTCGATAGGGTGGCCCGCCGTGACGCCCAGCGTCAAGGCCACTCCCACGTCATCGCAGCCCTCCCTGCCGTGAGACCTGGTTGAACCCAGCCATGTTTCCGGTAGCGCGCCTGCGCCGCCGTGATGTACTGCCCTTGAGACTCCCAGCCCTCAGCGAACATATGTATGTGTATATATATGTGTAAATGTACACGTCCACTTATGCAGATGCGCATACATGTATGTACACATGTACGTGTGCATGTACACACATTTACTTACACATGTGCACAAACATATTCATACACACGTACAAACACCTATACATGCATAGGTACATATGCATATGCACATTCATATATATTTATATATAGATGTGTGTATATATATGTGTATATATACAACGACATATACATCTACATGTGCAAATACATCTGCATATACACACCAGGACCTGCACATAAATTGTGTTCCTGCTTTCACGGCCTCGCAACATGCGGCTTTCCGGCCCAAGAATCGCACGAGAAAGGGGCAACCCGAAGAGGGTTCCAAGAAGGCTCCCGAGAGAGCTTTCAGATGCCAAAGACATAGATGTTGCTCAGGTTGTTGAGTGGCAGTGACTCACGGCGCCCCAACAAGGCCCCAAGACGGCCAAAGAAGCCCCCAAGGAGGCCCGCCCAAGAGGATCCCAAGAGGGCATGAGGGCCCAAACAGGGCCCGAGAGCGGAACCCGAACTGACAGTTGGAGCCCTTCCTCCAAGAAAGCCTTAGAGGCTGCCAGCAAGCCCCCAATAGGCCTCCAAGGGCCCTCCCAGGGGCCTCCCAGGGGCCATTTTAAGAGACCCTAGGAGGCATACAAGACGCCCCTGACTCACGACGCAGGCACGGTGGCGGGATGGGTCGACACAAGCCGAAGGTGGCCTGAGGATGGCGGTGGATGAGGGCATCCCAGTGAAAGCGGACACGCATGCGCGCCCACGCATACCATGGTAGGCGATCACGGCAATTCAATGTCACAGACGCGTGCCCCCTAAATGCAAATGTTCCCAGACCGTTCCAGGAAACCTCCGCGGGCGTTCCGAGACAAGTTCTCAACGTTCCAGCGCACCCCTCAAGGGGGCCGAACACCCACCCCAGAGAAGCCCCCGACTCCCGCTCGCAGGACTTGTCCTCGCCCTCCTCCCCTCCCGCCTCGTCCTCCTCCTCCTCCCACTCCTCCTCCTCCTCCCTTGCCGCCTCTGGTCCTCCTCCTCATCCTCTGTCATCCTTCCTTCTGGCCACCCTTCTCGGGAAGAGGAGGGGCGGCAGCTTGAGCATGAGAGGCACAAGCCAGACGAGGCGTGAAGGAGCAGGAGCACAGGCGCAGGAGCATGAGGACGCAGAGGAGGACCGCAGACCGGGGAGGAGGACATCAGAGGAGTACGAGGTCATTACACCAGAGAAAGCCCCAACCAGTGGATGGTTTGAAAATTAGTGCTATGGATAATGAGATCGATCTTGAGATCGGTGGTGAGATCGACGGTGGGATCGAGAGTGAGGACGATAGTTAGTAAGATCGGTCGTGAGACCGATGGTGAAGTCGATTACATGAGATCGATCATGAGATCGATCGTGAGATCGGTCGTGCGATCTTTAGTGGGTGGTATCGATGGTGAGATCGCTGGTGGGATCGGTTGAGATGTCGATATTGATACCGATAGAGAGGTGGGTGATGAGATCGCTGGCGAGACCGATCGGTAATGAGATCGACCCAAACACCCGGGAGCCCCGCCGCCCGCCGAAGTCGGCCCGGAACCAGCAACCGGGGAACCCGGGAACCCGGAACCGGGAGCCCGGAATCTTGGCCGCCCACCGAAATCGGCCGATGATTTTCCCCGGATCTCTCAACATCCGCCAGGACCCCTTCAGTGCAAGCACTGATTGGCGAATGATCATGGTGCGTCCCTGATGTCCCAGACTTCAGGGTTCCCTCGTGTTCGACACGGGCGTCGGAAGCGAGGGCCACTGGATATACTCTGGAAGCCCTAGAACGCATCCTGAGCCAACGTTATCATAAGATGAATCCCGTCCCAGGAAAAAGTCACGTGGGCCTGCAGCCTGCTGGGGGTCCGAGGCGGCGCGGCACTGGCTCCGGCGAGCCAGAAGAGGGGGGGCGAGGTTCGAGCTTCTGGGTTCGAGAACTTTTTTCATGTTTTTCGGCCTCCGGGGGCCGTTCGGGCAGTCAACAGAAGGATGCGGAGTGAACGGGAGGGGGGCTCTGGCGACCGTTTTTGAGCGGATTTGGCTTCATCCCCCCGTCCATACCGGTTCTCTGGGGTCCGAGCCCGTTGAGATCCTTGGCCGCTTCCAAGTCACGTGGGTCATGGCCTGAGGCTGCACCAAGGCGGCTCCAAGGGGTGGCGGCAGGGAAAGCAGGAGAGCACGCGAGCTCGAGGACGGCCCTTGGGAGCCCAACGTGGCCCATAGATCCAAAGATGCCAACGGAGCCCCGCCTATCATTCCCACTCCTTCCCCGTCTTGGGCCCACAAGTCCTTCTGCATCATGCGTTATTCGTCACTCCTCGCTTCTCCTTTAACCAGGCCTCCCCGTCCTCCATCGTTTCACCAAGCATGTTGTGCGCGTGCACGGCCAGCAGCTGCGCGCGCGGATCAGCACGCGCGCGCGGTTTTCGTACAGACTAAAACACGGAGGGCGTATCCATGTCGTACCTCCACGCTACGACCCGTTGGTTTTTCCCCCCCGCCGTCTTGGCTTCAAATGAGTATCGATGCACAAACTGGACGCCTGCCGTACAAAGAGGATTGAACCCTTCATCACAATTCTGATCGGAATGTCCCCCACGCCTGTGTCATGAACGTGCCGCCAATCCATCGCAGGCGTGGATGAATATGCAAGCGCACCTGGCAATGCCATGCTCACCGTGCAGATTTCGGCAGTTACACATACAGATATTGCACGGCCGCGTTGGCAACTTGCAGAGTACGCATCTCTGTGCTACACCTTGCTTGCACTGAGCTCTGACGCATGCCCTGCATATGGTAGGCTGAAGGGGAGGCAGCTTGACGAATTCTTGGACAAATGTGAACGCCTTCATCGGAGCGTGGAGATCGGTTGCTGCTGACGGACGCTGGGCCAGTCATGATTGGACGGTGAAGGACAGCATTTGCAGTCATACTCCCTTCGGTTTGAAGCACGTAGGTCAGAACTACAGGTGAGCAGCAAATATACGCACCGTCCCAGAACACAACTCATGTTTCAGGAATCGCTGGCTTCTGGAGCACCAGACCCCTTCGAGGGGACCAGCTTTTCAATCGGAGTCCTTTTTTGGTGGTCCGAGGGCCTGGATACCGCCCCCAGTCGTCAAACATTGCTCACAGAAAGTCCGTGTCTGCCCCGTCGAAATGCCAGAGTGATGGATACGTGTAGCTTTCCTGCAGCGGCTTCCTTGGTGGAGGGGTTCTGGGCTGGTTTGAGCACGGCGCCACGGAGCCGCAGCAATGGATTATCTTTCTTTGCCGTTCATCAGTGCCCACTATTACTGTAGATCCACTCCACTATTCCCTACCTCCGACCTTCTTCTCCATCCTGCATCCTCGTTCCGCCTTCCTCGTCACTTCTTGATTACCATCCATCCTTATCCTTTTTTCCTCCTCCTACCTCCAGCGGAACCCGTCGACATACTGGAAACGAAATCCTTTCAGCGTAAAGCGTTCAGCGTAAACAGGTGTTGAGTGGCAGTCCCCGATGCTTCCGAACATCCCCCCCCCCCCCAAAAAAAAAGTACGTTTGCAATGCAAGCTGGATTGGGCTGATTAAAGTTGTTCCGATTCATTGTATAGACTTGTACGAGACTAGCGTGCGTCATCCAAAAGATGGCATACACCAGGGGAGAGGGTGATTTTAGGTACGCCCCGTTGAGAAAAACTGGAGCAGGCCAGGCCAAGCCAGGCTATGTTGGCACCGTTAAGACGAAGCGAGCTCCGATGCGATTGGAAACGTCTTAATTAGCTGAAGTGTGCCAGTATACCTTTAGCTTGCACTTTGCGATGATTTCAGAATTCTGTAGGCCACGCACGTGGAAGCACAGCCTTGCTGAACCTTTCAGAGCGAGCCCAAGAGTAAGTATCACGACATGTCAAATGACCAGGTAAGTCCGTCGAGCTACGATCCGCTTAGATGTTCACGAGAGACCAGGCTGGCGAAGCGCATCGAGGGGAGGGAGCAGCGGCAGCGAAGTCGCTCTTCTTCCGAGTCGTGTTATCCGCTTCCTGCGTGCCAAGTAGTGTCGCCGCCTCCACGACGTGACGTGCACCGCGGGACAGCTCACCAGGAGTCACGATTGAGGCGCAGAGTCGGGTTGCCGCTTCAGCTTTGCCAATTTTCCCAGCTTGGAATGGCGCTCTCCTCCAAACGCTGGCGCTTGTCTTCAGCAGTCAAAGTGACCACACCTACGTCAGATTGGTGCTCTCGTCGGAGCCCTAGCCAC